TTCTCCATATCAATCAAGTATTTTGTTGTTGTTCTTCTGTCCAATCGATATATGCAGCTTTTATTTCATAACTGCATGCTCATTCATTACACGTAAATATTATTATCATTGTTATAATTATAATTATTATAATTATTATTTTCATGCATCTCTAGCTCGCGCAATTTGTAATATAGAATTGCGCTACCACCTACATTGTATTAAAATTATACGTACATATTCTATTTCGAATATTTAGTCCGAAACCGGGAAAGATAGATGGATTTATAGTGAAAATATACGTGGTGAAAATAAAAAATTCTTCGATCTTTTGTGATAATAAAAGAAGGTTTCCTCCAAAATCGCACTGTTGGATATTTATCGTCTTTTCTTAAATATTTATTTATTGTTATTTGCCATAATAACTGAAAACGTCAGTCAAAAGAAGAGATAAGGTTTTGCAGCAACATTTTTTATGAAGATAATGAATAATTAAATAAAATGGAGTTTAAAATCTGGTAAGCGCTCGATCGTGACAATAAAATTTACAATGATTTAAAAGTTGAATTTTAGAAATAAGATGACTTTTAGAATTGTGTCTATTTTAAGTTTATCTTTTTGATTATTAATATGATTCTAAAATAGGATAATAAAATATGCAATCATAAACAATAAATGTAAGAATACATAGGTGGAAATTTTAATTGTACATTTAAAAAAATATGTATGTCGAATTTTAACTAATAGAATCACACGAATAAAATTATACGTGTTCAATTAAATATAAAAAATATAAATAAAAAAGACAAAGATGAAACAAAGAGAAATAAGATCTTCAGCGTGATTCTTATTTTCGATTTAACACTCGATATAGAAGGTTTGTATTTATCTTATCGATGATCTAGAACAAATAAGTTCTGACTTCTGGAAGAGAAACTTGGAAGAAGAAAGGATGTCCGTAACTTTACGACGTAGTTACGAGCGCGGTGCCTGTAACAATGTAACTTTGTTCGATATTATCTTGTTATTTTTAATCTTTCAATCATGAGCTCAATAAAGCTTGATATATCCAACGATAATGTATTCAGCTCGTTAGTTTGGATTGACGAGACTATTGCCATCGTCGTCTTAATTTTTATTCGTAATAATCGTTTATTTCGTATTGCTTCGTGCTAAAAAAAACCAATTAATTTTGCTTTCACAATTTTATTATCGCTCGAATGTTTTTGAACTGTCCGAAAAAATCTATTAACTTACACAAAGAAAAATTTATTACTATAACGTGCTCGTTTTCACGATTTGATTATTATTTGTATTTAAAAAAAAAACCTGTGACTGTCAGTATTTCCTGTTGTTATTTCAAATAGCATAGATGTAGGATATTCTACGTATACACATAAGTAGCAATTTAATTTTTTAATTTGAAAAAATTGGATCTCTTTTGTTGTATAGTATGCTTTAAGAAAACTTATCGTCCGCTTTTTTTTGTGGCAAGAAAATATTACTCCATAAAATTAGTATAATCAGTATAAGTGTACACATACATTTCCTGTAATAATACATTTCCTATTTTGCCATCTCGGTAACGTCCTATATTAGCATATTAATATTTTGTGGCGAAGAAGTATCTTAATAATAATAAACTGATTATGAGAAATATAATTCGGTACCACGATACGAACTGGGTCGACATTCTTATCTTATAAATCGAAAAAGAGATAAAAAAATAAAAGAACCAATTTCTTTTCTGCTACCTCAAAGAGATTGCAATTTCATTTAAACACATCCGTGGAATGCAATTTGGTTTAAAACACACTTATAAAACGTTTCCGCTTTTCATTGTAATCACTTTTCTTCGCTTGACAACGAGAAAACGAGGTCGGCGTCAATGAATTTACTCTGTATACACGAAAATTGCTTTGCACAAAACATCTTAAAAGGTCATTACGATTCTAAACTCTTAATTTCCTCAGATGTCTAATGCAAAGAGAAAGAGAACGATTTTTTGGGTCTGAGAGGATTTCATTGTATTGAAAAATGAAAGCGATCCAGATAGATTCTTTAATTATGAATTAAACTGCAACGTGTTTAATCGACATTAAACATTAATGTACGCTGCATTAATATCATAAATGCATTTGATTATGCATTAGTTACAATTGATTACAATTAGTTACAATACATTTATAATAATTTTCGCGAAACGTCAATCTGCGCTAAATCAGGTATGTAATATCGTTAAACATTATTATGGATATTGGACGAAACGCAAGACAATTTATATTTATAACAGTGACGAGATGTGTTGCACGTATAACATTTTTCATTGCAAAATGCAAAAGAAAAATCTAACTTGAAAACCAGGACATTGTAACTCGAGGAATATTATAGTTATGCATTTTATAACGTCGAAAAATGTTTGGGACAGTCCATCATATTTCGTTATCAATCTTGATTTGTGATATGTGTGAAAAATATATAAAGCGCATAAAACATATGTATATTTTTACAATTATAACGTCACTTTGAATTTGCAACGCGATAACATTCCATAATCGTATATAAATACACAAAGTTATGAAATATACCATAATAATTAAAATATCTTTTATTTCGTATTAAATTTATTCGATCCTTTATTGTATTAAGAAATATAATTAATATAAAAATATTTCTTAAAAAATTACATAAAACAAAAGCTAAATTGTATAAATTATATAAGTTTGTATAAATTATAAAAATTATATAAGTTAATATAAATTATATAAGTTTACAAAAAGCAATAAATATTATATTATGATGCAAAAAATGTCAGACGTAATTATATACTTTTTTAGTGACTTTTGTTATTCTAATTGACATCTGACATCTTAAATCAAAATTTCTATTGTTAGTCAATCAGTTATATTGTCAAAATTCTAGTTACAATAATTATTTTTCTTTAGTCATAACGAGGCCGTGTCTCGCGAAATTAAAAGAAATTAAAAGAAAAAGAGATTGGAATAAATTACATTGAAACTTACTTTAAAACAGTCAGTCTCATTTTATTTTGAAATGAAAATAAAAATAAATTTAAAAGACAAGTATAAACTTTATAAGATAAGTTGCTGTTAAGTGATTAGAAGTGAAAATTATAGATGCAAAAATTATATATGCGGAATAAAAATTAATTACAATCGTTAATTAATAATATGTGATATCCATAAAATTAACGCGACAGTTGATTTTAGTACTAGTATTTGTACGTATCGCGTCCTTCAGTTAAATTTGCGTTCGATTGCCAATGCGAGATGACAGGGATGACCACGACGATTGGCGGAATTATCGGATATCATTAATTAAGCATTTGTCAAGATCTCTCTCGTTGTACGAATATTGTTGTACATACGTATCGTGTAATTAAATATCGAATAATTAAATTCAGCATGAAAACATGTACAATTTTCCAATGAAATTATCCCCTATCAGCGTAACTCTTCAAGTGTAATGAGCATCAACCTACACAAAATGTATAAGATTGATTTATCACACTCAGGATGCATCTGTGTTTAAACATTAAATGTGGTTATTATCGAAATTAACCACGGTTATTATGATTAATAAATTTGATCAATTTCTTAAAAAAAAAAAAAAAAATTTCTTAAAAAATTTTATCTTATAATAAAGTGTTCATTCAAGATTGAATGGTATCTAAAAGAAATCAGACACGTTTTACTTCAAGGTTATATTATATCATTTTAAGAAGTTATATTATATCATTCTAAGAAAATCATTCCTGCCAGAAATATATGATAACTAGGTCAATGTCAGAATTGAATACAAAAAGAAATGTTAGAAACATTGAACATGAGAGAATGATAATTCCTAGATAGATAATTAACTGAGTAATATCCAGTTAGCATATCAGTAACTACTTTCATCTTTATATATAGAATGCCTTATATATAGAATGCAATATAAAATATATGGATACTTATAAAAAATTCATTAAATATCCATAAAAGCAAATTATTCTACTTCTCTTTTCGTCAGATTGAGGAAAATCTTCGTTTCAAGTACGATAATGTTGTAATAATGTGAATATTTTAGAAATAAGTTTTACAATGAAAAAAACTATTATATGTATTAATAAAACTACCTGAACATGATTCGAGTAAAAATAGTTTTTCTACATTTTTGCACTGCATCCTAATTTTATCGTCGTATAATATTATCATAAAATAAAAATAAAAATCACTTCGATAATTATTTTCGAATGAGTGAATAACTCAGTGAACCATTTCGTACTCGCTACAAAATAAATCAGAGTAAAATAAATAATGATCGATATTAAATTAACATGAAATTAATTAATTAAAATTTAGAACTATGTTTTTTGCATAAATTATACGAAAAAGTATAAATTAATAGAGAAAAGATAAAGACCCCGTTAAATATGACATCTATAACACCCCATCTATAACATTTTTAAATCATGCAATTTAACATCAAAATATTTAAAATATTTTACATTCAATATCCAGTATTATAAATGTTAAGAATGAGGATGTCAAAATTTTAAGATTTACTAATTCATCTTAAAAAGTCGGGATTACTGAAATTGCGAAGCTGATTTTCGCTTACTTCATAAGTGATTCTCATAGTGTCTCAAGTTAACTCTCGACTACGAGAAGTTTCAATCATACGAATGCAGTTTCCACAATGCTGTTAGATTGCGAAAATGTCGAGAGATCTCTCGTGCATCGAAATCGTATCTAAATACATATCTTACTTGAAGTTTCCACAAAATCGGTCCTTGAAATGCACCTTTAGGTATGTGCGAGTTTCTATTCCGGTGTGAGACACACATCTTCATCGATCTCTGCAACTGGGATCACCGTCACAAAGTTCACAGTGATAACAACAGGCGTGATTATCAACTAAAAAGATATCAACGCCACCCACGAATATCCCGATTCCGGTATATACTACATCAGCGATATCCGACTGCGCCACTCCGGTCCATTCCTGTAAAAGAGGGAACGCGCGCCGCCACCATCGTTCATTCAGAACCACCTGCTCGACGGGGTAGCATCGTCTCGTCTTGTCTCGTTTCGGTGTCATCTATCATCCGTGATCGCAAATAGGCAAAAGAGTGAACGATTTTCTTTCTTTGGAAATCATCCTTGCAACAAGCGAAACACACCGTCGACAACCATCGCGACAAGATGAGAACCAAACTTCCCGCGACTTCCGGTCCCATTTTCTCGCTCTACCTCTCGATCGTTGTTCTACTCGTTCTGATTTCCGTCAGCGACAATGTGCATGCCAAACGTGAGTATTTTTTTCATTTGTTTTTTGCTCATTAATGCAAATTTAATTTAAGGTTTAAAGCATGACCGGTATAATGTACAAAAAATCAAGCGATAATTTATCTAAAATTGTCTACAAAATAAACGTAAGCAATACATTACTTGAAATTTGATTATTTTTATGCGAGTTTGCGAATTAATTATGCCGATAAATATTCTTGTTTTTAATATCATTCTTAATGATTTTTAATTAGTCTGTCAGATAGTCGTTATCTGTGTCAGCAAATTTGTTATGAAATTGTAAAAAAAAAAACAATTAATAATTTTAAAAGTCTTCAAAGTACAATAATTAAAGTACAATAAATCTTCAGTACAATATAATTCCTGATATATGTTTTGATTTTCGAATTATAATGATAAATATGTTTTTACATCATTCTTAATCTGTCAGATAATAATTATCTCTGTCGAATAATTTGTTATGGAATTGTAAAGAAACAATTAATTTTCTTTTCAATGTTTTTAAAAAGACAGAGGAATTATCAATACGATAACTCAACTTCTGATATACATGTTGTGTTGTTTCGATTTTTGGTGTCTTTTTCTTTTCACCTTATCTTTAGATTTTCTAATCAATTTAAAATTGATTAAATCATATCATTGCATATTCTCAATATTACGGATATTAAGAATAGATGAAAAATTGTATTTTTTATTTAACTTTAAATTAACTTTCTTATATGATATAAAATAACAAAATTAATGTGTACGGGACGTATAAAAATAATATACAAAACTTTGAAAATTAGTTGAGAGCGAAAGAAAGATTTTGTAATACACGTTATATACGTTTATACATTTTCTTGTAAACTAATCAACTTGCTTAAAATCTTAAGAAACTTTCAGACACATATTGAGTTCGTTCTCCAACATTTTTGCAAATTAATCCGAAAGCTTCTTGCACATATTACGTAGAGAAATAATTTCATACATTCATGAAACGAATTTTTATTCAAAGGATGATAATTAAGGGTCATTATTTTAATTATTTTATAATTGTGTTTTTACTGTAGAATTATTTTTCACATTGTCGATTTTAATATCTTTTTTTAATTTGTATATCATGTATGAAGAAATGTTCTGTGAAATTTTCTTGACAATGATTGATTGAAATAGATTTCTTTTATTTTTCAGAAAGTGATGGTAATCGATTAAATTTCTACAAATTCTTTTTTATTTGATAAAATATCTTACACAAGCATTAAAAATTCATCTCTTTGTCCATCAATTAAATGTGTGCGAAGTAAATAAGTTTAATTCAAATATTACATTTCTTCGTGCGAAACAATTGAAGAAGAAATAATTTGGTAGTAGGAAAAACTTGCGTAAATTTATATTGTTAATTTTATATTATTATATTTTATATTATTATTTTTTATGTATATTAAAATTAACTAAATTTATTTGTAAATATATAATTTTTAATATGTTTTATTTTTTTTTAGTTATTATCAATATAAAACTGATGATTTATGTATAAAAAGGAATCTGCATTGTAACTGTATAATAGTTGTTAAATGCGATATATATATATATATATATATATATATATATAATTAATTAATATATATAATTTATTAATATAATTAATATATATATATAATTCTTGTAATCACAAGTTAGAATAAAATATATATAATTCTTGTAATTACAAGTAGAGAATAAAATGTTCTCATGGATAGTAAAGCATTTTGTCGTTAAACGATTAAACAGTTACAGTGCATACGCCATCGATAATCGTACGTAAAATTTTTGCCTTTTTTTTGCGTGTCGCTCCTACATATTTATTCCTCCGCGTTGAAAAGTCAAAATGCAAATATACGTCAAAAATGTCAAAAAAGTATGTTTGTTTTACGTGTTTACGAATGTAGATTCTATTTTTTCAGTTTTGTACTTTCGTAAAAGTTATAATTTGAACAACGCTTTGATATTTCGCATGTCGCCATGCCGAATTGTTTCGTCGGCATGACGTTCGGCTGATCGTTTCCACTTCTCGCAAAATCGAATCATCGAAATGGATTTACATGGAGAAACTTACAAGCATTGAAAATATAATTTTTCAGGAAATATGATATGTCAGCTCTTTTTTCTGTCACAATTGCACCGTATATGTGTCGCATGAAATATGAAAAATTTCAATGTAGCATGCATGTAAATAATGAAAATTTTTCCATTCATGCGTTTAAGACGATGAAAAACGACATTAATGAAAAGTAATTTAAAAGACCGGGAGCTATAAATTAATTGTTTGAGGTGATTTTATTTAATTTATCTCTTCGTAATAAAAAAATTATTTAATAATCAATAAATTGCAGAGAGCAATCTTTTTATTTAATTAGATGCGTAATCTTTGATACATCTGTTTGAATTATTTATATATTTAGAAAAGAGATTTTTTTAAAAGATCAATGGAAATGAAGACTATTAATTAAAAAAAAATAATACATGAATTCGATTTGAATAAACAACGTATGAATAAATCGATGTCTACATATCATTTTTATAGAATCATTTAAAACTAACCATATTTTTTTATTTAACTAGATGCGTAATCTTTGATACATCTGTTTGAATTATTTATATATTTCGAAAAGAAATATTTTTAAAAGATCAAAGAAAATGAAGACTATTAATTTTTAAAAAAATAATACATAAATTCGATCTGAATAAACATATGAACAAATCGTTGTACATATCATTTTTTATAGAATTCAACTAGCCACATTTTATATGAGAAAAATATTACATTAATAATAGCGATGTGAACAATCATAAAACTAAACGTATAACTACGGGCATTATTAGATCAGTAACATCAATTGTTTCATTTCCGCTTCTGAAAGTATGAGTCTTAACAATACATGATGTAAAATTCAGAAGTAGATCGTAGATTTGACAACTGCATGTGTTCGTTCTCAACTTCTATTTGGGTCTCCGCAAAGCAACAGATAGATTATTTTTACGCGAAGTTCTGCTATTCTGCGCAAAACTTGTGTAAAAGAGAATTATCGATACTCTATTGTAATGTCGAATCCGTTAACTCTCATGGCTACGAAATGTTATAATAGCATCGACTGTTTGCTCATGTTTCCGTGACACAGTTATCGTTCCTTATACGAGCTAGGAATAGTACAAGCGTAGGATTTGTGGATAGAAATTATCGAGGACGCGAAACTATGCGTGACAATCGATAGAAATCGAACTGTCAATTAATATTGATTCACTTTAGAAATTATATAATTTTGTAAAATATCTATTAATCATACTAATCTTTAAATAAATTTTAAATAACATTTTAATTTTTCTATAATTTTTTATTGTATAAATATTATTAATATATAAATATTTTTGGTTTTTTTATAGACTTAATGATAAAAATAAAATGTTTTGTTTAAGAACTTCAAATTTTAATTTAAATATACCTTATAAATCTATTAATATATCTAAATATTATGATACATAAATCAAACTTTGTATAGTTTTTATCTGATTCTAAATATCGGAAATTAGTAACTTAAGCGATTGCTTATACTGTATTAAAGATCATGCAGAAAATTGCAATGCAGTTAGCATTTAATTAAACAGTTTAATTAAGTGTGCATAATAGATAAATATATTGTGTGCATAATAGATAAATATATTGCATACATTATTAATAATTGTATGTCTAATAATTCCTGATATAATTATTGCTACCAATTTATCAATCGTGTATTTATTCATAATTATTACAATAATCAGTTTTGAGTTGAATACGTTTAATTTTCAATACTAATACTAAAATGTGCAGATTTTTTCCTTCAATAAATATTTCACGCATAAGAATATTAAAATGAATTTGACAAATATTTTCGCATGTTTACTTTCAAATATTCCATCGACATAATCGACATCAGTTAAAACACTTTAAGCAAAAAAAGCAAAAAATTAGCATTTAACTCAGTGGCTCTTATTAGATTATTATAGCCGTAACATCATTTCAATCTACATCGAAGAGCAACGAGATTTTAAAGAAGGGAAGATAGCTTTATTGATGTCAATTTAATTTTCTTTGCTTTCTTTTTTCAAATTTTTGTTTATTTCGATATTTTATATTTTCTTATTATATTTTCTTTCTCATAAATCTTGCTTCAGACGATTGATGATTCGCGATAAAATTAAATCGAAATTTATTCATAATGTTATGTGTCGCATATTCCAATATATGTGTATATTACAATGTATATTTTACACATCTGTGTGTTACTTTTACAAATATTTTCTGTATGAACGATACTTAAAATTATAAATAGAAATTAATTCGAAATTTTGTTGTGCATTATAAATCACCTAAAGTAAAGTTATTCTTAATAAAAAAAGATAGAGATCACCCTAATACTTATTAAAATTGTGAAAGATAAATATAATATTATTTTCAGAATTATTTACCTGAAATAACTCTTGCATACAAACGTTCTTTTGAACGAACACGTTTCATGCGGTTAGCAAACTGTATTAATTAACAGCTACGTGAGAAATAAAATAAACGTATATGCTATAATGATGCGCTACACAATCATATACAAGCGTCGAAGCAATATGAATAATAATGAAAATGAAGATATGTCGAATTTACATTCGATGTTGTATCTCTCTTAATAACTATTTCGTAGGAAAAGTCACTGATCTGAAAGTTTGCAAATTTTCATTTAATTTCATAATTTGAAATTGAAAAATCATAAATGCATAATATGATGCAAGTGTGGACAATGTATAAGAACTGAAAAAGAATTTGAGATCTCTAAAAAAAATTTCTGTAACACTTATGTACAAACATAAAAATATTTTTGTAACACTTATTCGTTTCGCAGTGCAGAAAAAAAATATTTACACTAAAGTCAATTTCAACTTCGACTATGTTGTCCTAAAGTATGATGACAAGAGTTCTATAGGAAATGTTTTGGAAATTGTCAAATTATTCGATCTGTATCGATAGAATATATCTTTGTGAAACTTATTATATAAAGAGCTGGAAGATTCGTCTTAATGTATATGCTACACATAGGCGAAATCTAAATTTCTAAATATAATTTGTATTGTACCATTGTTCGGATAGAAAATAAATATAATAAAATACCTCTGCATTAAATCCCTGAAATATCGTTAAGGAATTACAAGTTATATAAATTGCTATAGGAATTAGCGGCAAAGTTAGTAACAAACAGTTAACAAGAGTTAATAGCGATTTTATAGATAGAATATCGAAATTTTTTTATTCGTGCGCGCTATTGTTACGGTGAAATGCACTTTGGTAGATTCACATTGGATAGGTAGAATGGAATTACGTAATATGCCAGTCCATTTCACTGTAAATGTACCGGCTGCTTCAGATCGAATTGTTCAGCCGTGACGCGCATTTTCGTGAACGATGATGAATCCAAGTGCACGGCTAAAGTGCAAACGAACATTTATCGAAAAGGTCGGAGAGCGCGAATATTCTTCTACGCAAATATATTATCTCTTTAATGTGGATAATAAATTACGCGCGCGATTACGTTGCAATTGCATCGGGAATTGTATCGGGAACAATGTAAAGTATGACGTGTACTTGTGTCAAAATATAGAAGAACGATAAGCGTTTAATGAGTTTCGCCGTAAAATTCTTAAAAATATAGCACACGTAGAAACGAGATCGTTCGGGAAAAGGAAGGTCGAAGCCGATGGTGGATTAATCAGCTTCGTTTCAGGTGGTAATTGAGTGAGCAGCTCTGTGCGGCGAGCAAGTTGTTCCTTTACCGTCCACGAGTAATTTCAGCTTCGGCACGTATTACGGATTATATGTTTATCGATCTTATTTCGGTTTTTCGTTCACGCATGACTAAAAATTGTATTCGATATTTAAATATTCACGCGTTAAAATTATTTAACGAAGAATCACACAAGGTTATTTAAACTACTTTTATTTATGAGTTATATGTGCAAACTATACATATATAACGTGTAACATAGATAATGTGTAAACTATACATATATAATGTGTAAACTATACATATATAATATAATATAATGTGTAAACTATACATATATAAATAAGGCGCATAAATATCGATCGGAAAATTAAAAAACGTTATACAATTTATTAATTTTCATATATGTATTTCTTTAAACAATAGTTGCAATTGTATCATTCTAAACAGCGATGATAAAGTCAATACGAAAATACGCGCTATAAAATATTGAATACACTTCTTGTGACATATGAGTGTCTCTTATAACGAATTGGGTTGGATGCATTACTGTACCATTAGTGTGTACTGGTACACATTAAAGATTTTCAAAGGTTGTATAAATTTATATAGCATAAATAATTAAAACAATAAGATAACTAATACTACAAGTAATAATAAATAACTCGTAAAATTAATTATCTTTCTGTTTTATGTTATTTATGTAAATTTATTATATGGTAAATTTGTACACAACAATCTTTAATGTGTAGCAGTGCGCACTAGTGCATCTAATCGAAATTATTATTCTACACAAAAAATAATAGATAAAGATATACGATACGAAGTTGCACTACAAGTGCTTTAGGAACACGGTTTCTAGTGCACTCGTATTGGCCTCGTTGTCGCTTTGTTTTAAAATTAAATAATCATTTTTTGTATTTAATACTTTCACAGGTTTTAAATTGTTGAAATCAAAATTGTTTTTCCGTATATTAAATTATATTTAAATGAAATTATTTTTCTCTACGTGCAAAGAATATTTTTCAAAATTAAATATATTGTGGCGCTTCTCTTATAAATCTTTGTTGTGACAAGAATTTCAAGCAATGAATTTATTTTCAAATATTAGCCGCGTTAGAAAATTAAAATTGATTTCTTGTTGAAGAAATATATATTTTAAATATTTTCTCTCTTACAGGAAATACTTATTAAAATATTTATTTACATCAATACGATTTAAATTGAGGCTTATTCCATATAATAAACATTAATATATTAATATCGAAAAGGAAATAATTTTCTTCAGATTTCAACTTAAAAATCAATTTTATATAAATATGCAAAATATTATGTTTGTATTTTTATAATTGAAAACAGCTTTAAAAAGAAAGTTTAAATTGCGAAATACAATCTATTATTTTTGGATTATTGAGATATTATGCAATCGTTTTAATGAATCAATATAACGCGATTGCGTATTCATTTTAATAGTATTAATTAGAAAGAAAATACAATATACCACCCAATTATCTCAATTTTAAACCTGCATTAGGCTTTATAAATACCTCAACATTCATTAAATAGACATTTGAGCCAATATTATGTCTAGATATATTGATGTATGTATTTTTAGAGGCAGAGAGATCTGCGGCAGATTGACGAAAATTTGATATTAATAAGGAGAAGATACAGTTATTTATTTTTCAAAAAGCAATTGTTCGCGCTATCTGAAAAGATACATAGTAGCATTTTTTATAAGCACTTGCGAACAATTGTGTGTTTGTAAATCATGAAATTTTTAACGTCTTATCATCGTGTAAAAGTAACTTGTTTTACAAAGTGTTCATGATAAGATTCATCTGTTATCTTTATTTTTAATATTTTAGCTTCTATTCTCTTTTTACTCTGATTCGATTATCCGATATTTTATATAAGTTATTAAAATTAAATACTTTTTATTATTTTATAAGAGATCATACAAAGGGACCTAAGAAAAAGGGACCTAAAAAACCTCAAAATTTTCAGATTTTTTTTTCTTTTTTTTAATATTGATTTCTTTCGCAGCGCGAGAAGAAAGAAGTACTAATATCCGGAGGAATACCAACTATGTTCGCAAAGGTATGATTTCGAAAAGATCACGGTATGCCAAGAAAGCTATATACGGGATCTTTTTTGAGAACTTCCAAATTTTTAGGTCTTTATGTATAATTCTTTTCTATTAAAATTTATTTTCTATAAATTTATATTCTACGATGAATAAATTATACATTTATTATAAAAAATAAATAAAATTTTTTTCTAACAATTTATTACTATCAATATGAAAGACATAGCACAGAAATAAAAGTCTGAGTTAATCTAAAACAATAATTTCTAAAATGATAATTTCGAACATAGCGGTTTTGGTTGTATTGAATGGTGTAAAACGGCGTAAAAAAGAAATATTTTTATGAACAGGAATTCCTAATAATAATAAAATTTATTGCATATATAATTTCAACACACATTTCAAATTATTGTCTTTCATTGCAATCAAAATCATACTGATTATTTTTTTATAAATAACTCAAGCAATTAATCATAATGTGTCAATAATTATAATGCAATTCAGGTGGCTGTGCATCATTTGGGCATTCGTGCTTTGGCGGCCATGGAAAAAGATTCGATTCGACCATACGACACAACACATTGCAAGAAAGTATTAGCCAGAAGTTTCAAGAATCCGAAATACCATCGCCAAACGACGAATTATTCTACGTTTTTCCAAATGATGAATTCCGGGAACGTTCAGACAATTCATTACCTTTCATACGGACTCGCAAAGACACACAACAATTTGATCCTTATCCCCTATCATCTTTAGTTGATCAATGGGTATGTATGTTTTGATAAATCAATGATGAAAAAATACATGGAATATATAAATAAAAAATTCTCTAACAATAAAAATAAAGAGATCATAATAAAATTTTTGTATTAGCAATCTTGGATATCTCATGCACACACATATACGCACATACATATATATCTTGCGTACAACTATTTAATTATAGAAATAAAGAAGGATATATTTTAAATCACTAATATTTAAGAAATGATTAGAAATAATAAAGATAAAAATATGTATAGTATATTGCATTTTTCAGATAGCATCTCATCGACGCCAGCATCGCACAGATATAGACGTCACTAATAAATAAAGGGAGTGTACAGGCGAACTACCTACATGTGTCAAGATTAAGCAGTTTCGTATCACGCATATATATTTAAAAAGAATTATTTATGTTATTTAGATTATTTAATTATACTTACATCCGATTATTATTTCATACTATTATTGTATATATTTTTCTTTAATATAATACATACAATCATGTTTCTCATTTAATGTTATAAATATCATTTAAAGTTATAAATCATTGTAGCAAAACTAAGATGAATTGTAGCAAAATAGGTTTTAAAACTATTGTCTTATTATTATCATCATTTATCTTTCTATCATCTATATACTTAAATTATTAGATTTTATAATAGATTATTTTATTTTAAAAATGTATATTTTGTAATATGCTTAGGCTGCATACCTAAACTGTTTTTATATATTAAATTATCACTCTGCGAGCTCCATTTAATTAAATACATATAATATTCAATTCTTTTGAAATTGCATCTTTTCTGGATGCGTTATTCTGATAATATTATTCTCGGCAGATAAATGTGAACGTTGTGTGAATCGTGTCGGTAACATTCACCTACTGTCATAATAATAAATTATTCTATTTTATTGTCTGCTATTAGGAAATTGATAGTATATTATAATCGAAAGATAAACTATGAAAATTTATCGTATGTAAACATTATAAACATTTGTCGTACAGTTGATGATATTTTGACTTATTTTTGCGAAATAAAAATATCGTCAAGAATGGATCAACTATTGAACTGCACAACTAATGGATATTATTTATTATTTTTATATTCCTAATATAATTATACAGTAAGAAATTATGCCTTATTGTTAATACATATTTACGATGTGTACTCTTTCTTACTTTATAATTTACGCGGATTGCGATAATATTTCAATTAATTTTATATCTTTTTCTTTACTTAATATTATGTAATGTAATCATTATTTAAATTAATGTCAACAATCGCATTTATAAATAAATAAATTTTGATTTATCATGTAAAAAGAAATGAATGAAATGAATATTGGCAAACACTGTCTCTTGCAATTAAATTAAATATTTAAGGCTGTGTTATATATTTTCATATTGTATATATATGTGTATGTGTGTATAGTTTTATCTAATTTTTACTAATATATCTTTTTTTTAAATAAATTATATTTTATAAATTAATTTTTATAAATTCTTATAAATATAAAATAAGGCTTTCAGATTTATTTGGTAAGTTTTACAGAGTAGGAAGAAGATAGAAAGCTCTTTTAGTTTCACATAGATAATCAGAATTCTCTATAGTAGATACATATACAATCTCACAGATTAGTCGAAATAGAATACTGTAGTAATCAACAAAATTGCTACATTGTTGAACATTTTATATAATTATATGTGATTAAAACAGAACTGCTATCATCGATAGTTTTATTATAAAAAAATATATTAATCTTCTAGTTAAAATTGTTTTTCTTTAAATACAGGTCAAATATTAAATCAAATAGGAATTTAATAAAAAAACATATACATACTTTTTTACAGAGAATTATTATATTATTACTTTGATTGTAGATCTGTTTGCTGATCTGTTTGCTGAAAATTTTTTTTCGTCACTATATCTTACAGTCTTTTACATTTCGTTTATTTCGTATTTCCATTCTCTTCATTCTGAAAACAAACGTATCATTGAATAAGTATTAATATTTAACAGATAGATGAGTAGAAAAACGTTAAAAAAATAACTGTTAATAAAAATATAAGACATACCAGAAATTTAAGTATATCTAACTTTTGAGGATTAATTGGCTTATCGTACTCATCAGTTGGAACTAGCAAGATTTCTGGAATGTTTTCAAGTTTTTCGTTCATATTACGCATTACATCTTGTGCGTTGTTAATCTTCCGCTTATTGTTTTCATTTTCATTTTCGTTGTTAATTGGAATTCTGCAAATTCGTGTTGGTTATTATATCAGTCTCTTATAAGTAAGTAATAAATTAATTATTATTAAATAGTTAAAATAGTTCTAATCTTCTAATAATAAAATAGTTCTCTCTTAAATAATTCTAATAATATATTAATATAATACATTAATAGAATATTAATATAATATATTAATGGAATTACAAGAATAATTTTCGTAATGTGTGATATTATCTAAGATATAAAACAAATTATTAGAAAGTAAATATTCAACTTAATTGCAAAAAAAGATATTTTTGAATAGGAAGTTGAAATAAATACAAATAAATAAGAAAATTATAGGGAATTAAAAATACTCTAATAAAATATTAGATATTATTAAATTAGAACTATATTAAACACAGTTATAAATCTATTGATCTATGAATCTATAAATCTATTATCTTGATGCAATGTCTTTTTTAATTAAAATGTTAGAGACCTCAATCATGAATCTAATGATTCATAAAACAAAGTGTAAAACTTCTAACAAGATTATTCAAAGTTTAAAAACCTAATCTACCTTTTAAAACTATCTTCTCTTCGCTAACTATAAAATGTACTTGGTTCCTTATAATTCTATATAACTTTGTTATTATTCCTTCAAAGATAAAATATTTAGTTCAATATTTATTCAATCATAGTTTGTGTTCTTTCGTCGCAATTTTTGTGTCTTGTATCTATGTTTTAATCAAAAGTGGAATTTAATTTTTATATAATTATATTATATTATAATTATATTATATTATATTATAATTATATTATTATATAATTTACGTATTTTCTTTTTTGTAGTGAAAGTTTATTTAGGATAGTAATTATTTAATTATAATTATTTAATTCTGACAGCTAACAAAATATAATTTCAATATTATAGAACCATAATTATTTAATTTTGACGGCTAACAAGAAAAAATTGTTAATCTGGATTCAACAATTTGGATGAAACTTTGTTAATATATAAGGTAAGATACGTATAATATGTTTTATATTTTATATTAATTTTCATATATATGAAATTTGACGTGTTAAGATTAGAAGGGTATTCCAATATTCCGTGAATATTAATATACTTATATTAAAGACAACATATGTAAAAGACACAAAAAAATCTAACATTTATTAAATTTTTCAAGTAAATAAATGTCAAAAAATTTTGTAAATAAAATATCGATTTTAGTAAAAAGAAATAATCACGAAAAATGTGTATATTTTTAATAAAGAAATTTTTATCAAAATCTCGTGCTTTGACACTCTCTAGTTTGTTCCTCGCAAAAAATTCACCTGACTGATATAGTGCTATCATCATTCAGTGATGCCGCGTCCCACTTTGATGGAATAAATGTTTTATCCTTAGGAAAGCTGTTCCATCTAACAGGATATTTATCCGTCAACGGTAATAGGGGTTGTCCGGTAATCAAGCGGGATAGAATCCACTGCGCCTTCGAAGAATGCACGATGTTCTTTTGCGGGGATTTGCTCAACAAAGACTTAGCTGTCAGGAGGCGTATGGCGGGTGCATCGCTGCGCTTTCCGTGCGCTAAAATTTTTTTACATCATGCAAACTAATTAAAAGTAAATGTACATTGATGCAGACATTACATTATTCCCATGATGAAAATATTATTATTTTGTTAAAAATATTAACATAAAAAAATACGTACCTCCCCAACAAGAATGTCCGTAGCTTAGACAGGATCCTGGATAAAATGACATTTATATTTTAATTATTGTATATTATAATATATTATTGAATAATATATTATATGAATTCAATTCTTTCTTGTCATTAACATTTTCACGTCTTATTATGTAATTAGCGATTGAGGAGAGAGAAATATTTATTTGTGTGAATGCATGTGTAAGATATTAAGTTATTAAATAATAAGTTATATCGGAAATTTAATTTCAATTAATGATACGTGTATTAAGATAATGCATGAAAAAAATTCAACCAATAAGTTGTAGGAATAATATTATGGCGCGTCAGGTACTCAACTATGGATAAAACAGAAACCGTGTTCAGTACATTGCAAAGGAATGTAATAAAAATTTATTTGAGAACGCTTATTACACTATTATATTCCCCAGACGATGTTCCGCGTTAAGAACGATCTTGTGAACCGCTTATAAACGGTATGGCTAAGCTCGCCTCGACATTCCTTGTATGCAGTGAATGCTAGGGCAAATAACATCCCATAAAATTAGCTTTCCATTATTTCGTTATTACGTGATTTCGTCCAGCGTCGCGCTTTAGAACTCAAATTCTTTTGTATTCTCATTATAAGAATTTATTTATTCCGAGAAATAATACGTAAAGAATCTAAGATATTATGAAAAAAATTTTTAATATCAAGAACATTATAGATATTAACAATCTAAAATTAAAATAATTGATGTAACTAGTATTTCATAAATAATCATTCATATTTAAGGGGAATATATATATATATATATATATATATATATATTATGTGTATTGATTGGGATATTTCAATATAATCTGCGTCTACGACAAATCTATTTGTAAAATAGATCAGGAATAACAATCCATAGAAATCCAATAAGCGTTTTTTCAAATAAGTAAGAAGTAATTGAAATTGCAATAATCGGATTAGAAAAATGCTCGCATCGAAAGGTGTAAATGGAATCGAAAGCAGAAATATTTACGTTGCGCGCATAGAATAAAATGTGAAGACGACATTCCAGTAGGTGTTACTTTTGCGGCTCTATTTCCTCGATGGATCTCTTTGGTTCACATGTAAAATGTAAGATGTGAATAAGAGAAATTCGTTTTTATTGATCGGATCACGCATATCCAATTTGTCTTTGTGCATGGCATATATACGTCAGAAGACTCTGGGTGCCTACGCAATTTTCATTTTCAAAGGTTTCTCCGGTTTTTGCTTGAATCGATGCGATTTTAGATGTTTGTCTTACCTAATCCGTGATGTACTCACGCCCATCTTATTCACACAAAGGATTATGATGACCACTAAGAAAGTTGGCAAAGGATATGATAGAATGTATAATAGATAAGGGATTCAGATTCTTATTTGAAATAATTTGGATTAAATTTTTCAATCGTCGCAAATATATATTCAGAATCTATAATTTTAAATTTCTATTCTTTTTTTCTTTTTCTGCGAGCGAATTTTGATTTAAAATTAATAAAACGGAATAGCGTATTTTTTTATAGAAAATATAATAAAAAAAATTTTTTCTCTTCTTTATTATTTCATAAGTTTTCATTATATCATAAGAAAGACGATGGGTAACTAAATGACAAATATTTTGTACATATATCTAGCAAGGATCGAAATATTTCTAAAACAAATTTTAAGCAAAGAATTAATTACTCTTTAATTCTATGTTAATTTAAACACTATTAATTTATACTAATTAATAAAACAGTATGTAAACAGTATAGTGACTAGTAATTTTCATTCCTACTTTGTTCGTCAAGAAAAAATAAAATAATAAATAAAAAATAAAAATGTCTTTATATACTTTATATATTGCATTAGCAGGATAATGATTTTAGTAGCAGTAATATAACACGAAAATAAATCACAAATAATATTTTTTAAAAAATCATTAAAAAAAGCAAAGAAAATCTATTTTATATTATTTAAAAGATTTATAATCGAAAGAAAATTTAATATTCTGAAAATGCTATATGTATGTATGCTGTTACGTGCATGCGTGAGTGTGTGTGTGTGTATTTTCATACATAATATTAATCTAGTCACCTTTAAGTTTTCACACTTTCTTTTGAAATATTTATTTTAAAATTCACTAATTTTCTTGCGTTATTTTTCTCTCTCTCATGTGGAAAAGCATGAATTATTTAAATACTGTCTATCGAGTATTCTGTCAAAGATGGTGAAAATGTATACATATTCTTTTGCTTAAAAAATTCATAACAATTTTATCGTAATGCAAATATGATCGTAAATTTATACGTTCAATTCCAGAAGTCTTATTAAACTTTTAATAATTCAGTACATTAACACAACTATCATTGTGTTAATGATATAAACACAACTATTATTAATAGCAATAATAAATAAATTTTGTCCAAAAAGAAAATTTATTTTATAATTTATAATTTAAATTACACAAAGGAAACAAATGTAAAATATATGTTGAGTTACTGAATGCAAATGTCAAGTTTATATCAATTAAACTTTTCCAATTTTCACTAGTACCCAATTAATTTATGGCAATAAAACTATATTACAGCTTTCCTCATGATAATCCACTTAGCGTTCCAAACACTATAATAAACTTTATTTTCATTCTAAATTAATATATATCCCATATCCGGGAATAGATGACAGATATTGCATTGTTGTGAATAATTATTTTCCGCTCGATGCACAAACAAATTGTAATAAACATTTTCCTCTTTATACAAGTTCTAGCTAACGTCATCATATCATCCAATAAAACACTCAAGTTTTTACATTAGACTTCATAAAAATATAACCGTGATTAAAGAATAAGATAAAGATACAACCACGCACTGTAAAATTTATCTTAATCACAATTTTATAAATACATATATATATAGAAACTATTTGTACAACTGATATTTTGTCTCGATCAATTTCGAAACTTTGCTAATCAATCTATGTTTTAAATAAAGTATTAATTAGATACTCATATCGAAATCGAAATATACGATTACAATATAGTTGACTTTTGATTAACCTAAAATTTTGAAAAGAATTATTTATACTACAGATTAATTTCAATGCGTGTTTTGATAATTTATATCATGTAATAACAAACGAAAAAGTACGGGACGTATCAATAAATCCATTTAATAATAATACATGTATGTCTTTTTTTAATTATTTAAATATTTTAATTCTAAAAGCTGCTTTCGAGAGGAAACCAATTTATTGGCTATTCATTAATTAAAAAATGTCAGTTTTAACATTTATATGTTACAAAAATAGAAGTTTGTATATTTGAAAAAAGACAATTGTATTATGCTAAATTGTCACGATTAATAATTTTTAACATTTTGCAATATTTTTTAATATGTGATATTATGCTTCAGAATAATAGAAGTAAACGCGCTATAAAAAATTTTGTTGTTTAATATTCAAATATATATATATATATATATATATATATATATATATATATACTTTTTTATGATGTTATAAAGTTCTACTATATATGTATACTATTATGTAAGCATTTGCATAAATACCATATGTATATAAAAATTCTAATATTCGATTACAATTTCTACCGATCACGAAAAACGTAGAAAGAAAAAAACAGAGCTTACTTATACAAGATGGAGCAGAAGATTAATATGACGATGCATTGTACCTACCGGCCGCGCAATCAGCGATGCAGAAGATTAATGTGATGATACAGGTCAGCATGATAATTGTCATAGTGCGGGGTTTTCTCAAAGTCAACGCCATGTGATAATCTTAGTTGTTTTACTACGTAAACGTTACTACGTAAACGATCAAACAGGGAAAAGTGGCCTGCAATTATTTGCCGCCTGTAAGTTGATTTAGCGAAATTTATCCTTCACAAGAGAGAATGAGGAAACTAAATTGTAAAACAAAATTTATTCTAATTGTTATCATTTTTGTCAGCTTTTGACATTGATTTAAACATAATGTATTTTTTAAAACTGTATGTGTGTGATAATTATATTAACATAAATTATCTTGTGTAAGTTAAGACAAATAAATATTTCTATATAAATGAAAAATAAATATTATAAATATAAATTTTTTTCATACTATAAATTTACATCGGTTAAATTAATATTATTAAGATATTATTAAAATATTTTTGAGATATTAATTATTGAGATATTATGAAAATAATATTTCAAAATAAAAAAATATTAGCCTTTATAAAATGTAAATATTATTGCTTCTCAATCCAATTTAAATAAAATTTATTAAGACAATTTTTTTTAAATTTACAGATATTTTAAATAATCTTTTTATTTTCATTTCTTACGAAATCCGGAAATAAAAAAACAACGGAAGAGAGAAAATCTCAAGTATATCTCAAGCTATCGTACTGACTGTGGATTTTGTTCCGTTGGCAATTTTTTCTCTCTCGTATTCTATTTTCTCTCTTTTTTTTGCACTCAGAAAATCAAAGTATCACTTGCGTTCACCCTCGTAGAAATGAGCGGGACACGTACGGACGCGTCCTGCGCGCGTTCACCAAATCGAAGGAGGGAAGGTTTTTCTGTTGCTCACGAAAAAGTGGTCGATCTCGATCGAAGAGGTCGGCGAGTGAACTCAAAGCCGGGAAGCGATGCGACCACCGCTTTTATAGACGTGTGACGCTGGCGCTGGTACACGGCGGCAAGCTTAGTGCATGGTGGGGTGGCTCTCAGGATGCGCACCTGCGTCGGTGACGGTGAACTTCGTCCGAGCGAACAAAAACAATCATCGTGGGTGGGCTTTAATTGGAAATTTACCATAACACTAGGATTTTGACGTTAACCTCGAATAGAAATCGGGAAGCGTGTGTGATCGAATATTACTTCAAAAAGATTATCGATACATATAGCTATTTCTAAAAAATTAAAATTTTGGAAAAATTTTTATCATAAATTTTGCTATAATCCAAATCTTAATTGAGTATATCGCATCTTTTTTAAAAAAAATTAATTTTCAGAATTTAATTTTCATATGCATAGCCTCATGTTTATTATTATACATTTAGTACATATTTAATTTCCAATTCATTCAACTGATTTCAGAATCACCGTTATTCTCTTCACATACGTGCAGATTCTTTTTTAATTTTTATATTAAATATCTTAGCAATCAAGTATTAAAATTTTGAGAAAGTGAGTTTGATATTTAATATTCTTACAAAATTAATTAAGAGTTAAAATATAGTAGAATATAATTGAATTTAAATATATGTTCTTGTCAGAATTCAGAGAATTTAATTTTTATGCATAGTTTTATTTTACGTATTATTATATATTTAGTGTATATTTAATGAATTTCTAATAAGTTCACTTATTGTTAATTTCAGAATTGTTACTGTTTTTATATGGATTCTTTATTCAAACTCTACATAAGTATCTTCGCAAACAAGAGAGAGAAAGAGAGAGAGAGAGAGAGAGAGAGAGAGAAACTCTAAGGAAATAAAAAAATTATTTCATTTTACACACACACATACACACACAGACACATACACACACACAAAATATTCTTTTAAAATAATATGAAATAATATAAAAATTATAATAAAATATAATAAAACTTGATAGTAATTTATATAAATGAATAAAAGTACGTATGTAAAATTTATATTAAGCTTTACGTAATTGTTTTTTTGGAAGCTGCATTTTGTTCATATTTGTTAGTTAAAGATAAATAAATGTGCACATACTATAAATACGCAAATATATAAAAATAAATAGCGTACATCTTGGAATTTTATAAGTGAGAAAATATTTTAAAAAATTTATGCTATATCAAAATTAATCGTCGCTAATAAATGAAAAAATTATATATATACATGAATAATATAGTATTATAATAACATAATAATATATGAATATTATACATGAATTATTTACACATGAATATTATAGTATTATAATAATATAGTATGAATAGTAACTATAAATGTATAATAACTAGATTTAGATGACGCTTATTTGAACTTTGTAAGAAAGATAAATTTAATTTACATTTAATTTACTTTTTTTAATTTTCTAATCTTTCCTTATATTTTTTTAAATTGGTTAGTTCTGACGCGATTGTCAAATCGTATTATTGACAATCTTTCTTTATCTTTATTTTTGTATTCACTCTTAATCTTTTATATAACGATTGCATTGCCTATGTTGTTATTACAGGTTTAATTAACGGTTTTTACAGATTGCTTTTAAATGACACTCAAATTTGGGCTTACTAAACCAAATTGGAGATGGTCTCCGTCAATCTCAAAGAACCGTTGAACCTGTTATTATTAATTATGGACTTTCTTAGCGCTTCCAGTTGCGTCCTCCCGACAATAAGTATATATAAAAATGTCACCCAATATTGATGTTTATTTGCGTTATATTTCTGCGAATTTGCTTTACGATTTCCCTGCTATTTAAATTTGCGCTGAGGATGACTTAAAAGTAAGTCGAAACGTCCGCACATAATGTTATAAACAATTATATGTATCACATCTTATTTCTTATTTCTTTTCTGATTCTTTTTTGTATTATAAGGTTTGCGATATGAATATATATTAATGCTCGATAACTTTTTATTTCTTGACATTTCACTTTAGTTCTCTATGTCTTTTTTTATCTTTTAATTTAAAATTTAATTTAATTAGCTGCAATCTGCTTTATATAACAAAAACGATAAATGTTTCTGATGACGTCTAACTTCTAATAATTGCGTATAAATAAAGCAATGTCTATTTTCTGTTTCTATTTTTCGCAACAAATTTTGACGCAATCATATATTTAAAGACTCAATTGTGTATTGTATTATATTTATTCAATGTTTTATAACATATGTATGATTTTTATATAACATATATTAGACAAAATATCAATAAAAAAAGATGGAAACATAATAATCTTATATCTCAAGTAAAAATATCTGAAATATGTATTTTTAAAAAATTGCGACGTGCATTATCTAATATTATTAGTATCTGCCACCTATCCGAATATTATATCGCTCATAGTGACCATCTGGCCATGTAATTAGATATTGTCGAGAGAAGCAATAATATTTCGCACACACCAAATATATAACAAACATAAATACAATTTTTCGTAGAAAGAAGCATTTTTACGAAAGTAACCAATGTAGCCTTTAGAGAAATAAGAGTCCATTCTAAAATTAAAATTAATCATATCTTTTCAAATTATACAAATTAATAAAGTACTGTGTTATATATCGCGTGTTGTGAAACGAGAAAAAAGTGTAACAAGTTTCTGAATAACTCGAAATTGGCGCGGATATTTGCAGGTAGTATAGGTGCGTCGCGGACATCCGTAAGTAGTTACGCAGATTCGTAGTCAGACCGCAGAGCATATATAGACGGACGACGGTGCACCTGGCGCTCGTGCATCGAGTCAACAAAAGTGCAATATTATAATAAGTATTTCCGTTAATAGCCTACCTAATTATATTTGCATCCGTAGACAAGAATTTGACTCAGAACGCAGAATAAAAAATTTTAACTAAATCTCAATTAGATTGTGTGAATAATAATTAATAATTTCAATCGTTTGTGCTGGTACGTTTTATACATGAAACACACAATGATCTAAAGAAAAATACAAATATTTGTCAATAGATTCTGCAACTAATTTTTGAATGAAAAATATTCATTTATCAGAAAATAAAAATTATGTTAATATGAAATTTTTTTAAAACAATTAATCTTAGGATCTACTAAATATTATTCTCGCAATTTCCTCTTTTTTTCGATTTCGAGAGCATGTTACATTTTTCATGTGTGAAATATATAATATACAAGAGACGAGATTGATTTCTGATAATCGTGCATTGGTTAAAGATAATAATAATCAGCTTAGAATAATAATATTTTTGTTTGACCATATTTTGAAGTATGAAATTTTCACAAATATATCGAAAATTTCAATATCGCGTCACTGAAGAATTATGTCAACAGCACAGTATCATCCGCTGTGTTTCATCATGAAGAGGAGTGGACTCGCACACCAGTCGTAAAACCTAAGTCATCAGAAAAAGGAAGAGTGGCACAAGTTGCTTTCGTTGTCAATTACTTTTGCGGCCCTTCGCATGAAAGGCAATAAACGAGCAATTTAATTTAACGCGCATAAAGAATCGTTGCCGAAACGCCATGATATTTGAATGTTTCGTTGAGTCATTTTCGTCACTTCGCGTTCACGTTTAATATATTTTTACGGCGCCGACTTCGTGGCGCAAAATTCGTGGGGTCGACGTTGTAACGCCTTCGTCTCTAAGCAGAATACTAGCGTTCATTTTTTTAGTGATTTTTTTTTCAATATTTAACGAAATATCTAACATAATATTAAACAAAGTATATTACCGAGAGAAATATATTACCGATTATTATATTTCGTTTGAAATACAATATTATTCTGTCCGATAATTCCGCGTAAAATATTTATAATAAATTGATCGCGAAACAAGCGAAATTAATTTGATAAAAAATATTCGTATCATTAATTAAATTCCCGAGGAAATAATATCGAACAAATAATAATGACTTGAGCAATTGACGAATTCTTTCTGCTTATAATCTGCCTACAATATCTGCTTATCGAAATTCCTCGCTACTCGCATATTAAATGACTCGATGAGTCTCGGAAAGAATTTTCTAGAAGTCAAAAGCAATATTCCGAATCGTTAGGCTTGCAGGAAATGCTTCACTTACTTGAATTACGTCGGCCTCTCGAATACCCCTCGATGCCAGATCTCGCGATAATAAGTCAGATTTCTTCATGCCGGAGATTAAAACGTCATTGAGCAATAGTAAGACCTCCCATTGGATACTGTGCAAATAAAAATATATGTTATGTATATATTATGTTTTAATTTATCCAGCTCTTTGCTGCGCGTTGATGAGAACAGCGATTTTAATTCGAAAAGTTCGAAGCGCGGAGAAGTAACTCTGTATTATTATTATTATTATTCTCCCGATTGATCGATCGGAATATTCATGAGATTAGTTGGACAGTTCATTATTGATACCTAACCTTGTTAATATTTTGCTTTCACACAGGTATCTTATAACGGTCGAATAATCGTAATAAAGAGATATTTGTACCGAAAGTGTTTGTTTTTCCATAATCCACATGCTATTGCAAGTTGCACGTGTTTTTAAAGAACGATAAATTTATGCAACTGTTAAATAACTATTTATCCCCCCCCTCCCTATTTTATCGTAACGATAAAATTTTTATTACATGCACAACAAACGCTCGTGTTGGCATGAAAATATCGACATTATAATTGAAATCGCAGCGGGACGCGTGTTCTCGACGAAGCGAGTACCGTCATGAATCATCGAACAATTTGCTAAAGCAAGATTTCGAAAATGTAACGTAATACATAGACCGCGCACATCGAACGGCGCACGTCGTATACGCGATTACGGACCATTTCACTGCAGCATCCGATATGCGCTTGCAATAAAAAGGGGAACAAACGGGCCGCGTAAAATGTACAGCGTGTCGATTCCGTGGAGGCATCCCCACGTGGGTGGGTGCGTCGCTATTAATATTCTATTTTCGCAATCGTGCGAATTTAAGTTCCTTCATACGTCGTGGTGTGACAAATGTGTCGACTTCATGACGTCGTGCGCATTACGAGAACTCGTCCCTCGCAAATGTGCCGTCAAAAGACCCCGATTTTACAAATATCAACGATATGCAAAAAAACGTCTCGATCCGTTATTTGAATCATAGGAGGCCGGAAGGAGTCCCGGGCTTCCGCAAAATCTTATGTTTACGCGCATTTCCAAGCCAGGATATTAAATGGGCGATGTTTCTTTTGAAAATTTCCTTGTACAAATTTATCGGGATAGTTTTCAAATATTTTTGAAGACACTGCAAAATTTTGAAGTATTTATATATTTTTTCTCCTTTTGAAGAATAACTTTTTAGCAAACATATCGCAAACATATTCCCACGCTGTTATTTAATCACACAGAAAATAATGTATTATAATATTTCAATAAAACAAATAAATAGTATAAATCGGACAAATGTAAAAATAATAAATAACAGAGATTTTCATCGAAGCAAAATATATAGTATACTATTTCCAATGATTTTTTTTAATTTAGTAGGAATCTATATTAATAGTAATACGATAGAACGCGTTAGAATAGGAGATAGAGTTTTTATTGGCTTTTTACTCGTGGATTTTTAACTAACTGTGAAATGCGAACCCTCCCAACACACATGTTTAAAGTCCATTTTTATTGTTGAAATTTGAGGTTAACGTTTCAAATAACTATGTTTAAAAAATGTACTTCGGAATTTTCTATTTCAAATGTTAAACAAATTAAAAAATAAACGAATTAAAAAAAGAAAATAATTTTTTATATAAATACTTTCATCGTATCATTTTATTGCTTGTATATCAATTATAACTTTTTTTGCATAATTAATTAAAACTATAAAGACAAAATTATTACATATTTATAAAAATATATTGTTTATTATCGAAAGAATTAAAAAAAAAACTTTAATTTTTTAAATAATTAGCATTCATTTGCAAATTAATTAAAGACAGATGCAAATGTATAATGAGTTACACAGAACTGACATTCAATTAACTCTATCGATCGACAAATCATTTAAGTATTAGATACATTTAAATAGATAAATTTAATTAAATAAATTTTAATACTTGTTCTGATTGGCATCTGATTAGTTATTTATCACTCGATGTAATCCAACAATATCTAACAATTAATTAAATGCAATATTGTTATATATCGTCGTATTCTGATCGCGATGCGACTGTATATTTTGCTTTTTGGCAAAATTTTGCGTGCTTTTCATCGCGACCTTTCGCATTTTTTCATATTTGCGACATTAATGTCAGTCACCCTTCTTGCTGATTATACGCTAATATACACGCGAGATCAGACATGCAGAGTGAAGAACGATGTCGAAAGCTTTTGGCAGTATTTGTATTATCTGCAAATGTATCGCGCGAGTCGAAATATGGCGTGAATGCCAATTAGAGTGAAAAATCTAACAATATTACGACCTTATACGATCTTAATGTTTACGTGTTATTTCGAGCAAAAAATGTTTTCAACAGTTTCATAGTTTTATAGATGATAGGCATTGCACATGCTTCATATAATTTTACGTACAAATTTTTTTTGTTATATCATGTAATTATTTTATACATCATATTTATATTGTACATTATTTTGAATATTTATATTGTACATTATTTTGAATATTATTTGAATTATATTGTACATTATAATGAAGAAGTATTTCTTGTGAATCTAGCACATTATTTTCAAAATGTTGATATAATCGCGAGATTATATGTTTTTTCTCCAAAACATTTTAGATACATTTTTGATATGTTCCTAAACTTTTAATAATTAAATGTAGAAAACGTAAATTCGAGGATATATTGTGCAACAACAAATCAAAGCTGATTAAACTCGCGAGAAAAAATTACGAGGTAAATGAAATCAGCATGATGTATAAGCAAAAATGTAGAATGTAGAAAGCTAGCTATAAAGAGAGTAGGTTGTGTAGGCATTTATGCGCTTTTATAACTAACATTTAGACATCGTGGGTAGTCTTTTATGTGTACATCCGTTTTTATTTATTGCGTTCAAAAAGATAGTGTACATATTATTTAAAAAAAATATTTTACATCTATATCTCAATTCTTTCTCTTTTTTCTTTTTCTATCTCTCTTTCTCTCGATCTGTAATGATGTAAAGAGTTTTCATTCTTGCGCTTCTTTTATTTTATCATGATTTTGTCGTCTAAACAATGCACTTATGTCTGTTTTATCTTAAATATTGTATATAAAATATAAAAGAATGTAATTTATTAGCTCGTTTATACAATATATAAATTATATTAATTATCAGCTAACTCTAGTACTACTATGTGCTGTACTGTCACACATATTGAAAAATATATTATATATAATTTTATATATAAAATATATATATATATATATTTATTTATCTATTTATTTATATATAATGTTATATTTTTTAAGGTATATTTTCTAAAGTATTTTCAATATCTATACTTTAGAAAAAATATATTATTACACGTTAAAAATATTAATTTATAACTATTAATGTAGTAATTAATGTAGTAAATTAATTAAAAATAGTTTAAAAAGTAAACAATATTGAATATATCGCTTTGCACACATATTGCGTGCAATATATTTAATGAAATATTAAAAAATTTTCATTTTTTGTATTTTAAATAATTTTGTATGCTATCATAACATGATAAGAGACCAAGCCCTCTTCAGAATCTTATCAGAATTTTTACAGTCGTAAGCTCTTGCGATAACTGTAAGCGAATAATAACGTCACCGATATATTTTGAGATTTCCGGTGTAAATTTTATTACCGCAGGATGGTGAAGTTCATTCTAAAAGCGACCGATGAATTGTCGGCGAATGATTCTCGTTACCGTATCGTGGTAAAATTGTACGCTACCTGTCTTTTATAAATTTTTTCCCATAAAAATTAATTCTAAACAAAAAAGTATTACTTTACAATAAATATTTAACTCATTTAAATATTTATTCAACTTCGAATATTTATTCGTAACTGCCATGTTGCCTAGAATGCTAAAAAACTGGAAAAAATGTATAGCTTCCGTTTGAAAGCTCGTGGCATTTATGCCACGAAAAAGATATTGCATATAAATGGAACAATTTCAAAATTTTTCACAATTTTAAGCATTTCTCGAGCGGACTTATTAAGAAATATATATCTAAAAATAACACTCGAGCAAGATAAGAATAATAGCTATCCATAAGAAGCAAATAACGATTAGGATCAAAATATAGTGAGCTTTAGTAAGAACTAGTAGTGCCATCAATAGTTGCAGAGGCTACATGAGCGTGACATTATGAAGGAAAGTTGTGGTTCAAGCAATTTTGCTGTCAGAAGCGATATCACAGAGCTAGATAAATCTTTAGGCAGGCACTTCCTATCCACCTCACTTCGTAAGCCCGTTTCAAGATGATTATCGTTCATAATACGTGACGAAGCAAGAAATATATGCTCCGTTTCACATCTTTTATTAAATTCATAACACTCTTCAAAGATTTTTCTTCCTCTTAAAAGGTCAAAATTATTAGAAAAAATTGTCACATTATACAACTATTTCTTGTAAAGTAAATCAAGCAAACAGTTCAGCGTATCTGTCATCCATCAGTAAAATATTGAATATTCCGTATTGTTTAAGTGATAATATGTATGTTTTCTATTTGATATGAAAAATATATGAAAAATGTTAAGTTAAATCCAAGTGGGAATTTAAAAAGTTTGTCGTATCAGCATTTAACGAAAAAGTGATAAATTGACGAGTCACACGTCGAGAAAAGCTCACAAGTACTTGATACGGTCGTGATTTCTTTACATTCGGTTGCTCTCAAGATGCCGATTCAGCAACTATATCGGCGATTGGCTGAAAACTCGAGATCTTGGCTTAGATTTTGTTTCGTCAAACTGTCATCTTGTATTTGCATTTCAGCGGTTCGCGGTCAAGCATGATCTTTTCGAGAAATATGAACTATATTTCAATATATCGTACATATAAATGATACGATATTAATTTCAATGTAAAATGACAATGTAAATTTTTAGTTAGAATCTCTTTATTACGATTTCAATTGTATTCTCCTATTACGCTTTAATTAAAGTTTTGAATAATACGTATTGTTGTTAACTGACTTTCTTGATATAAATGTAGTATTGATTATATGTGTAACGGATTGCTATTGGATTATTGTTCTATCCATGATTCTCATGGAACTGATTTTTAACCATTATTCTCGTTCCTGCTGACTTTTATTTTCCGACATCTTTATATAAATTACTCGATACATGTATGTAAACAGTAACGTCAATTAAATATACATCACTTTAATGCCCTCTATTTTTTTACCGCTGCAATGCAATTATTTATCGACACACTGCATTATTGATTCGAGGCCCGCATAGAATATGAAATATTGAAAAACTTCGTTACTCTTTGAAATTTGATTTTATGCGAGGACACCGACAAATTCACGGTGCCCGGAGAAGGATTTAAAATACGTCGTTAATGTGTATGATTCACGTAATTCACGTGTCTTCAATCATTTAACAAATGCTACGCAATCAGGATGGATGATGCATCATTAGTGCACGTGGACCTGGCTCTGCGAGACCGGTCGACGAAAGAAGCGGACGGAGCTTAAGGGGCCGGTCTGCGCAAGCACAGGTGCAAGTTCGAGGGTATAAAGAGGAGAAGCTCGGGCTCGCGGTGCGCACTTTGTGCTTCATCTGTCCGTCATACAGATCGCACAATCGGTCCCGACATCCCCACTTTCTCTCTCGCGGAAACTTTTCCCGCTGCGTTTGTAACTGCAACGTTATCGGTTGCATTCGTGCGTCGTTTTTCCCCGCATTTCCGGCGGAACTTTTCGACAAGTTGGACTCTCCTCTTACACGGCAGCGTATACCTCGCAGGTGAGTCGTAATGTGAGCTTTAGTATCTTCTTTTTTTTTTGCTCTTTCTTTCTTATACTCTCCCTCGCGTATTCTTAGATGAAACTTTACGAGATTGTTAAGAAACTCTTCATTGAAACTTCAAGTGAAACTACTTTACTTTGATTATGGCTCGTATTATTATGCTATCATCATCTTGCGAGAAAAAAATTTTCGCTCGCCTTTTACATCAACAGAAAACAAGAATAAAAATTAATTTCAATCTTATATCAATATTTGGAGTAAAAAGAAAATTAATTCATATTTATTTATGAATTAAATTTATTAACTCATTAAATTATAGTGAGTTAATGAATTAATGCTTGTTCTGCGCGTGACATTTTATTAAATGAGCAGATTTACTATACGGACTAATTACTTGTCAATGTTGTAACGAGACGTCGCAGTGAAACGTGTGTGACACGACGTGTCCACCGAAACATTGACAGTCGAGATGTGAAGTGTTAATGCAGATCGAATGCGGTTCGAGATTCATTGAGATTTAGTGCAATTGTCGTTAATTGTCCGTTAATGTAAACGAGAATATATCGAATTTGTTAGATTAGGCTAAGCAGATTTATATTGTACATGTAATCTGATTGTGGATTTAGTACACTATCACAATTTGACAGGTAATTATCTTCTGTTTAATAATAAAAATAAATAATTATCTTCTAATTAATATGAGAGCCTGTGTTAATTAATACGTATATAAAATTCTGGATTATTTGAAAGTTCTTTGAACATAAAAAATGATCATACTGTGATGCCCTGAATTTTACACATGTACAAGATATCCGCAGATTATATATATGCGAATATATGCAGATTTTTGCATAACTTTTCGCTAGCCTCCCACACATACATATACAATCTTTCTTTAATTAATTAATGGAAGTTTAATTTTACATCTAACTATTCATGATTAAAACAAGCAAAAATAAATTTAAAAAACAGCCAAAAAAATTTCCAATACATTGGAAAAAAAATGAAAATTTGTCCTCCACTTTACATACATTCGTATGCCGTTTTTGTTATTTGACATTTTCATATAGTAAACGAAAACAAGATAGTAATCATATGAATTTATAATATTTTGCTGCAACAAAAAATTTTAAATTATCACATGTGCGTGTAATTAAAAAATATAAAATAAAATGGAAAATTATAGGTGACATATGGAACATTGTTATTGACATGTAACGTTTATAAATTACATTGTTAACTGGACATTTGATTTTAACATGACGCTGGACCTCTTGGTGCGGATCAAATGACGAGAATCCAAATACTTTAGCGAAGTTTGATACCTCTGTGGGACAACCTGGAGTGACTAGACTAGAGAGAAAAAGAGTACAAAGGTGCCCTAGTGTTATTTGAAGCTTCAATTACGCTAAATGCGTGGTTTTCGCGAGTTTATTTTGCGTCACTGTCTCTTAGTTCTTGCCATTTTTTCACGGTACGTAATAAGTGTAGTAGAAGCGACAAAATAAATAAACGTGTACAAAGAAAAAAAAAACATTTGAAATGAAAATTCTTATGTTATTTGTCTCCAAAGCTTATTATCTAAAGTTATAGCATACAAAGAGAGCAGAATAATTGTTAAAATTATATATGCCAGTTTAAAAAAAGTTCTCTTGCTGAAATTATAGAATTTACAAAAATATGCAATTTATCTATAAACTGACTTTTTGATAATCCGTGAAAAAAAAGGATATGAATTTTTCATATTTCTGCTGAATCATTTTCAGCAATTTTTTTGCTCGCAACATCCTAGGTCAGTTCGCAGAGTAAATCGTCATATTATCTTCGATTTCCCCTCCCGCGCATTCTTTCTCTCTTTCTTTCCACGTTACCTGATATATAGCATTCTCTATAATAATGTGTGCCGATGGAAGAAGACATTTCATTTTTTATGACGCACGATTACTACGCACGTGTGCGTTCACTACCGCAAAATCATCATTTGATTATCGATAGGGTGCTGTGATATTTTATACACCGCTAACTATAGACGAGCGACGATGCGTGCGGCATTGAAATTTGCGGGTTTTAACGCAATTATTAATTTCACAAATTAATGGCGCCATTAATAAGTCTCGCGACACGTCTAATTCGTAATGGCAAGCGATAAAGCCGAGACAAATTTATTGCGAATTTCAATTGTACTCGTATAAAATAATGTGGATGATTAATAACTAAAACATGGCATATTTAATTATTAAAGATTATAAATATCTAAAATCTTAAGATCACACGATCAATTATATGACAATTTAGTGCGATTCTTTATTCTTGTGCGATAAAAGTTATTATACTTCTCGACGAGAAATCTCGTCTGGCTGCTATAAAAGTTTCTCAAGCTGTTATTACGACGACTTTATATCCTTACCGCAAAGTGAATTCTGATTTGAAGTGTCACGTTATCAACTGCGTTATAACTGTTTAAGCCAATGTGACGTTAATTAATTTTTGTCATAATTTATTCTAAAAATAAAATAAAAGAATCTTTCCTCTCTATATTAGTCTCTTTTCAAGTATAAACGCAAGTGATATTTAATAATTGAAAAGAAAAATTCGTAAAGGACAAGTGCAATTGCAATTGATATTTATATTGCACATTCTCCACCGGAATCGACAATGCAAATAGAAAAATCATGGCATCTTCACGCGTGCTATAAATGTATGATCGCAATCGACATATATATATATCACCTGCTAAGGCTATATCTCATTTGATCGTTAAATATTTTATCGTTTCATCGTCTCGTCGATATAAAAATGGTCCGTTATTTTCATAAAAATATATCGCGATACACTTTCGTTTCGTTATGACTATAAATATGATATAACAGTCAGCTTACATCGATTACAAAGCGATAAATAATTCGTGCTGTAAAGATCGTTGTATCAGAAGTGCCGACAATTGAAATGGTCGTTAACATCCGTATGTAAATTTCATTATTCACCGTTAATACAATAAACGCGACTAGGACTACGTATTATTCTTCGCGGAATTTCGCGGTTTCTAATGAAATTACTGCGCAATTCATTTTCGTTTTCGCTCCGTTGAACGCTCATTGGTCGCCACTACCGGCACTGCAGATAGCTTTTACACGATTTTGTCTATTACGCCACGTCGCGATGTGTGTGTCATAAATACTATTAATCCATACATGCGGCAGAACTTGTACGGAGAGTACGCGCCATTTGTTATTTGATTATTGAGTCGGAAAATATTTTGCTGTCATTAAAAGGTAAAAAAAAAATAGAATTTATTTCGCAAGCGCTTATTTGACGTAAAAATATTGAAGGAGTTAATTGCAATCTCGTTAATCAATTGAAAATTATATTGAATCGAAGCTCGTATTATAGTAATTTCTGTTGATTCAACGGTCAGTTCTCATTGAAAACAAACAACGACGGCAAAATGATTAAAAAATATTTATCCGTGAGCTTTTGCATTTCCAATGCGCTCGCTGCGCTGTCAATTTATCGCGTGCGCCTGACGTTCGATTCGTAATGCGATATCACAATCCTTCCTATGTGATTAATATAGGATAATGATTTCACGCGAATCATCATTTGGTGAGAGAAAAGAACGATAACTTAACTAACCATTGTACCAGCCATGGAAGATAAATAGAGTTTTTCCTCTCTTTTGACCCGGTTCGCGAATCACATTACACAATCAGCATCGAGAAATTAATTTAATTGTCCTCTCGTCGAGAAGTTTCGCGCTCGGCGACCTTTTATTACAACATTATTACCGCGCGCCAGTAATGTTTTCGGAGTCACGTTAATGCATTTAATAGCGTGGCACGAACGATCTCGTTATGATCTCCGCGAAAAATAAATGCGCGCCGTTCCTGACGGAATATCAAGGTAACATTTTGACGGGAAACAATCGGGATTTTTTTTTCTCGAAAACGCTTTTCTTTGCGCGGCTTTTCCTTTTCTCACGTTAAAGAAGCGGTCTGCGATCATTCTCCAAAATTTATGACACTTTCTACTACTTTGACTATGCGGATCTTTGGTGTCGCGGGAATAATTTCCTATATTCCCTAATCACAGATCTCTGCATAATTCCTTCGTCGCAATCTAAATTCCTTTTTCCGCTAGGAATTAAATTTAATATCATACAATTAATTTTTTAAAGTCAATGTGAATTATTTATATTACTTTTTATCTGTTTTTCCCGATCCTTTATAAAGATTAATATAGAAAAAACATATTTTATATATAAATTTCAACAAAATTTTAATGCCTGATTGCTTTACATGTGTAACCTAATAAATTTATATTTAACGACTATGATTATCTAAGAACTAAAAATAGCACATCTCATAAAAGTATCTACAATACTTTGCATCATCGAGGAGATGGGTCGCTATCTAATATAATGAATCTCACATCCTTTACCAAACATATATATTCAACTTTCCCCCTTATGTCTTATCATCATCGTATCGGGAATAATTTCCCCAAAGAAAACCAGTGAACATCAAAAATTCATTAAGATAAGAAATACCTTTCATCGAATACTCATAAATGAAATTACAGTATTGCTTATTACGCAATGCTAGGCATCCTTCTATCTCGTTATTGTTCCGTTCGATCAAATGATACATTTCCTCGGGCAAAAACAATTTTCCTCTACTTATTATTATCTATATTATTGAGTCAGTGAGATTTTGAATCGGGGACTATAACGACGATTATTATCGGAGAAGAATATTGTGGATTTTGTTTGATGGAATATAAAAAGTATCATTTTATATTTTCTATGTGGTTATCCTCGCGTAACTAATAGTTAACAATTTCTTTTTAATAATAGTTACTCTCAAGAATATCGTTTTTATTATCCTTGAAATATATTATATCTAATAATGATAGCTTTCGAGAATAATCATATAAAAAGATCAAAATAATACATGTATATGTAGATCGGCAATGATGGTAAACTGAAACTGTGAAACGTG